CCATTTTGTTGATTTTGGTCAAAATTTAGATTTTCATTTTTTTGATGCCAATCGATAGTACTGATCCTTACGAGTCCAAAATGGTATAAAATTCCCAAATCGGACATTATTTGGCCGAGATATTCCAAAAAATCATCAAAAAAGGTTGACTTTACAAACGAATCGGTTTTTGGTCAACCACTTTTTTTAACCCATCGATTTTTAAAATGTTTGAATGCCAATTGATAGTAGGGATCCCTACGAATTCAAAAAGGTATAACATTTCAAAATCTGACAGTATTTACCCGAGATATTCAATAAAAATCATCAAAAAAGTTTAGATTTTCGAACCGACCCCGAATTTGAGAAAAAACGTGATGTAACCCCTTGCCATTTTGTTGATTTTGGTCAAAATTTAGATTTTCATTTTTTTGATGCCAATCGATAGTACTGATCCTTACGAGTCAAAATGGTATAAAATTCCCAAATCGGACATTATTTGGCCGAGATATTCCAAAAAATCATCAAAAAAGGTTGACTTTACAAACGAATCGGTTTTTGGTCAACCACTTTTTTTAACCCATCGATTTTTAAAATGTTTGAATGCCAATTGATAGTAGGGATCCCTACGAATTCAAAAAGGTATAACATTTCAAAATCTGACAGTATTTACCCAAGATATTCAATAAAAATCATCAAAAAAGTTTAGATTTTCCAACCGACCCCGAATTTGAGAAAAAACGTGATGTAACCCCTTGCCATTTTGTTGATTTTGGTCAAAATTTAGATTTTCATTTTTTTGATGCCAATCGATAGTACTGATCCTTACGAGTCCAAAATGGTATAAAATTCCCAAATCGACATTTCTGGCCGAGATATTCCAAAAAATCATCAAAAAAGGTTGACTTTACAAACGAATCGGTTTTAGGTCAACCACTTTTTTTAACCCATCGATTTTTAAAATGTTTGAATGCCAATTGATAGTAGGGATCCCTACGAATTCAAAAAGGTATAACATTTCAAAATCTGACAGTATTTACCCGAGATATTCAATGAAAATCGTCAAAAAAGTTTAGATTTTCGAACCGACCCCGAATTTGAGAAAAAACGTGATGTAACCCCTTGCCATTTTGTTGATTTTGGTCAAAATTTAGATTCAGTACTGATACTTATGAGTACAAAATGGTATAAAATTCCCAAATCGGACATTATTTGGCCGAGATATTCCAAAAAATCATCAAAAAAGGTTGACTTTACAAACGAATCGGTTTTTGGTCAACCACTTTTTTTAACCCATCGATTTTTAAAATGTTTGAATGCCAATTGATAGTAGGGATCCCTACGAATTCAAAAAGGTATAACATTTCAAAATCTGACAGTATTTACCCGAGATATTCAATGAAAATCGTCAAAAAAGTTTAGATTTTCGAACCGACCCCGAATTTGAGAAAAAACGTGATGTAACCCCTTGCCATTTTGTTGATTTTGGTCAAAATTTAGATTTTCATTTGATGCCAATCGATAGTACTGATCCTTACGAGTCCAAAATGGTATAAAATTCCCAAATCGGACATTATTTGGCCGAGATATTCCAAAAAATCATCAAAAAAGGTTGACTTTACAAACGAATCGGTTTTAGGTCAACCACTTTTTTTAACCCATCGATTTTTAAAATGTTTGAATGCCAATTGATAGTAGGGATCCCTACGAATTCAAAAAGGTATAACATTTCAAAATCTGACAGTATTTACCCGAGATATTCAATGAAAATCGTCAAAAAAGTTTAGATTTTCGAACCGACCCCGAATTTGAGAAAAAACGTGATGTAACCCCTTGCCATTTTGTTGATTTTGGTCAAAATTTAGATTTTCATTTTTTTGATGCCAATCGATAGTACTGATCCTTACGAGTCCAAAATGGTATAAAATTCCCAAATCGGACATTATTTGGCCGAGATATTCCAAAAAATCATCAAAAAAGGTTGACTTTACAAACGAATCGGTTTTTGGTCAACCACTTTTTTTAACCAATCGATTGTTAAAATGTTTGAATGCCAATTGATAGTAGGGATCCCTACGAATTCAAAAAGGTATAACATTTCAAAATCTGACAGTATTTACCCAAGATATTCAATAAAAATCATCAAAAAAGTTTAGATTTTCGAACCGACCCCGAATTTGAGAAAAAACGTGATGTAACCCCTTGCCATTTTGTTGATTTTGGTCAAAATTTAGATTTTCATTTTTTTGATGTCAATCGATAGTACTGATACTTATGAGTACAAAATGGTATAAAATTCCCAAATCGGACATTATTTGGCCGAGATATTCAAAAAATCATCAAAAAAGGTTGACTTTACAAACAATCGGTTTTTGGTCAACCACTTTTTTAACCCATCGATTTTTAAAATGTTTGAATGCCAATTGATAGTAGGGATCCCTACGAATTCAAAAAGGTATAACATTTCAAAATCTGACAGTATTTACCCAAGATATTCAATAAAAATCATCAAAAAAGTTTAGATTTTCCAACCGACCCCGAATTTGAGAAAAAACGTGATGTAACCCCTTGCCATTTTGTTGATTTTGGTCAAAATTTAGATTTTCATTTTTGTGATGTCAATGATAGTACTGATACTATGAGTACAAAATGGTATAAAATTCCCAAATCGGACATTATTTGGCCGAGATATTCCAAAAAATCATCAAAAAAGGTTGACTTTACAAACGAATCGGTTTTTGGTCAACCACTTTTTTTAATCCATCGATTTTTAAAATGTTTGAATGCCAATTGATAGTAGGGATCCCTACGAATTCAAAAAGGTATAACATTTCAAAATCTGACAGTATTTACCCAAGATATTCAATAAAAATCATCAAAAAAGTTTTGATTTTCCAACCGACCCCGAATTTGAGATTTTGTTGATTTTGGTCAAAATTTAGATTTTCATTTTTTTGATGCCAATCGATAGTACTGATCCTTACGAGTCTAAAATAGTATAAAATTCCCAAATCGGACATTATTTGGCCGAGATATTCCAAAAAATCATCAAAAAAGGTTGACTTTACAAACGAATCGGTTTTAGGTCAACCACTTTTTTTAACCCATCGATTTTTAATTTGTTTGAATGCCAATAGATAGTAGGGATCCGTACGAATTCAAACAGGAACAACATTTCAAATCAGACGTTATTTAGCTGAGATATTCAAAAATATGATCAAAAAAGTTTTGCATTATGACGGAACCTTTTTTTTGAAAATTTTTATACAGCCTCCCAATTTTTGAATTAAATGATTTGCCATTCAGTAGTGGGGTTCCATACGAATAAAAAAGGTATAATTTCTATAAATCTGATGATAATGAGCACCGTCATCACATTAGGTAACTAGAGTGAAAATTTCAGCTTCCTAGCTCTTACGATTTGGGCAGTGCGTTGATCACCAATCAATCAATCAATCAATCAGTCAGTCAGTCAGTCGATCAGTTCGTCAAATACACAAATATTTATTTTAAACCCAGGCCAATGTCCTACTTTAACAGGGACGGAAACCGAAATAGTAGGCCTGGAAGAACAAACAAAAACCTTTTTGACTGAGCTAAAACTGATTATATTAGGGTTTTCATTATTAGTTCAAAATTCGTGTAGTTAACACATAAAAATTGTGTAAAATTTTACATTTTTATTTTGTTAGGTGTCCTCCAAAGCTCGTTCGGCAAATTACAAGCTTTTCAAACTCGACGAAATATATTTACGGCTTTCGCCCAAAAACTCCTAGCTACCTATATAAATCGTATGTATGGAAATTAAGCATGGAAAGCTGAGATAAACAATTTCCTCTTAGAATATGTGCTGTGGTCCGGCAGGTTGGTGTTCATTCTGTGGACCTCCATGTGGCGGACCCTGCCGTCAAGCTTGTTGTGTTGAGATGTGTTTTTCGCCCTGCACCCCGGCGTATTTGCAATGTTCTTTCTGCTGTGGATGTTAAGCGATGGCAGACCCGACGGGCCTTGGCGAGGACTACTGGCGGCTGAGGAGCCCATGGACCATAGCGCCCCAGTCTGTGATGGCCCCGAAGGATAAGATCTAAGTCGTAGCAAAATAACAATGTAAAGAAAAAAAAAAATTGGAAATAACATACCATTTCGTGTACAGTGTTACCGTTAACAATAAACACAACCGAATGAATTAAATGGCAAAATATTATTCGGGCTTTATGAAGACTCACCCGATTGGCTGTTCGGAATTGTTATCCATTCGAAAGCCTGGGATTAGTCGGTTTTAGTTGTCTGGTATGCATTCCTTAGGCAATCCCATGATTTCCTTGGTGGAATGTAGACTTCGCAGCAATGCGAATGTTCAGAACAGAAGCGCAAGACCGTGACACGATCAGATGTAATATGATCGGAGACTTAGCGGACCATGCATCCCAGAGGCGAATGCCCAAAAGTACATAGCTGCACGCGCACTAATACTTTCATGTTAACATACATGCATGATTACGCTCTCCCTCTCAGAACATGTTAGCTGTTAACATAATTATGTTATGTTAGAATTGGTGCGTTTAAATTGTACTTGGCACCCGGCAATAATTGTGGTGCGTCCTACAGCGCACGAAAATGTTTTATATAAAATATATATGTTGTGGTAGATCCTTTTAATTATTTTTTTTTTAGGTTTACGATTAAGAGTTTTACAGAAGCCACTGTTATTCAATATTGCTGTCTTAACTCTATATATAAAACTTTCCCGATTGACTTACTGAATGACTGAATGACTGACTGACTGACTGGTGATCAATGCACAACCCAAACCGAAAGAGCTACGAAGCTGAAATTTTTACTGTAGTTACCTTATGTGCTGAAGGTGCACGCTATGACGACATTTTGGGAAATTCTACCCGCAAGTATGGAAAAATCTCAAAAGTTTGTATGAAAGCCATTTGCTTACCATCCGGTCGGCCTCAAACTCCTTTTCAAAGATCTTTGTTTGAATTTCTTTGAGGCGTGCTTCACACCTTTTGGTAAATCCATTCCTCCTCATTTTGAAATCTCTTTATGAAAATTCAGTTGAGACGTGTAAATACGAATGAGAAAATGACTGCAAAACGAAACTTTCAATACGTAAAATGTGTTTCAATAGGCGTTGCTTTATATTTACCCTCCCAACTTTTGTAGAATGCTTCAGTTTCCGGACAAAACTCAAGCTGAGAGTAGGCTCTAGGAGAACAGAATTCTCCAGAAATAAAAAAAGCTTAAATTCTTCGGGTAAGTAGATAGAAAAAACATTTTCAGAATGAATGCACGAATTACAAGTTCCTAGATCACCATGTGCTGCGGAAGTCGCTACTACCGGGAGACACCCTGTGTCCAGTGCTGCCTAGTCGACTGCAGCTATAGCTGCTACCGCACCAGCTGCGCCGGACCCTGCGGCCCGTGTGCTACCGCGGCACCGTGCTGCTGCGGAGCTGTCGGCGATTTGAACTACAAATATTCGTTCTTCGGACTGCATTTGCTGTGATGAATAATGATAAATGATGATGAATGATAATGAATGGTCTAATGTCTGCAGCGATAAAGGAATAATCTAGCAGCACCTGGTGCATTGTCCTTAACACCTGAATGAAGGTCAATAGAGCCTACAGACCAGACCAAATTAAATTTATTTGTTAATTAAATAAATTTGTTAATTTAAAGAGTTATTTTTTTAATTTTCCCAAACAAGCGCTGTTGATAAGAGAAGACTTTGCGGGATATTGATAAAATTAGCAGTACATATTAACAATTTAGATATACATACTTTTTAAAAAAAGTGTTCGACGTTTAGACTCTATTAAATAGCTATTAACAGAACTTTATTCAAGCGCATACTAAATAATGAAACCTGATATAAGTAGGTTTACCGTTAAAAATGTATTATCTGTACTATATTGTTAATAGCGTTAGTTCGCATTAGCTTCTTAGCTGGCTGATGGAATTGCAAAATCGACTGCAAAAAGAAAAACATAAAAATATATGGCTTATTTCCAGAGAAGAAATAGACCCTTCTTGACTTTGCGATATCCAAAAAAGATGTTAATGTACTCACTTTCTTTTAAATTAAACGAAATATAGATTTATTAAAAACAAAATTATTTATTTTTAATTTTTTTTTTTTTTTTTTGGTGATTGAAATAGAAATTCTTACAGTACAATTGTTGTTGCTGTTTGTCTTTTATTATTACTGTTACACAACATTTTTTAAATGTTAATTAATACAATATATAATAATAATAATAATAATAATAATTTCATTTTTAATTATGTACTTCGAAAATTGTGGCCCCTAAGCATTAAAAAGACTTTTACTTTGCTTCAAGTTTTGGTTGGTTGTAGTTGGTTTTTCATATTTTTTTCGTTTTTCTTTTAGTTTTTTATTTTTTTTTTTTTTTTTTTGTTTTTGTTTTTGTTTTTCTTGCTGGTATTCGAGTACAATATTAATCAAATTCATACAAATAAGTTTTTTTTTGCTTACTTTCCATTCGCGCGAATTGCTAATGTTTCATTTTTTTTTCATATTGGTGTATAAAAATATTTGTATATATTTTACCATTTTAGCGTGTTACCGTTATTCCGTTATTCTCCTCATCTTCCCACTTACACATTAGAATAATGAGTGTCGTTCATCGTTTCTTCATTGTTTTGCATAGTACTATTTACGCATACAATTATAATCGTAATAATAATAGTTTAATGAGTTAATAACATTCACATTTATTACATTGGTATTCGAATACGCTTACGTTATCTTTACGTTATGCATATATATGTATATGTATATATATTTATATTTATATATATATAGGTAGGTATTAAATTTGGTTTTTTCTTGTTGTTGCTTTCAAGTACATAATAATAAAAATATGAATACATAAAAATATACTCCATTAAATGCCTTTCATATGCGTTTAGTTCTTGAGAATTGCCGTTTTGCTGTGCTTTATTGTGGGCTTTTGGTAAGTACTTAATGGTGTAAGTATTTATGGTATATGGGTATAAGTTACATATGCAGGGTGTTCACTGTACTACTGAGAGCGAATAGAGAAGTTGGCAGTTAAGTAGTTAGTCAGTTAAACCGTTGAAATATCAAATAAAACGTAATACTGAGTGAAATAAATGATTTCTATTTTTGTATCTGTGTTCATTCAAGATGTAAAAAGATTCTTTGTCGTTATCTTCAATATGCATTATATAAGAAACAGTGTGCATATAGTATGCATTGGTGGGTGTGTGTGTGTTTTTCTTCTCTTTTCATATCGCTTTCTTCTTCGTGTTTTGTTTTGTTTTTGTTTTTTCATTTCTTAACTCATTAACATAAATTTAACAATTTCCCGAAACAGCCAAGAATGCGGGCTATACTCAAAGTTTTTTGTTTTTTGTTTTTCTTTCGTTTTTTTTTTTGCAATGTTAACCCATCATCTCTACCATTGATATACTATTTACCTTTCAGTCCATTAGTCCATATATATTTTTTTGTGTTTTTTTTTCTTTCCTTTGCTTTAACAAACATTCATTCACGTTAATAAATAAATTTGAGCGAAATATGCATTAACTAAGAGATGTGTGTGAAACAATTTGTTTAGAAATATAACCATATAGAAAACAAGTATGCTTAGTAAAAATGATGTACATATATAGTGTATATATATAGTGTGTGTGTGTGTGTGTGTGTGTGTGTGTGTGTGTGTGTGTAAAGCCATTAGCAACACCCTGTATACTATGTTTGTTTAAAATTCAACGTGGTATCATCTTTTATTTTGCATCTATTTAGCAGAGAGTTCAATGGTCAAATCAATGTGTAAAATGTTAAATATGTTTTATAGTAAAATGCTTAAAACGTTTGCTAAAACTTATCAACTTAATTGTAACGACATTTAACATTAAATTGGTGTTTCTTTTTTTTTTTTTTGTTTTTTTAATTGTTATAAAAATACTTATGTATGTTGACATATAATTAATTGTAAAATGACTAGATGATGATTCCATGATCTGCACTATGTTTTGGATGTAAGTATGTAAGTAATGTATTTTAATATATATACTAGATGCAAATGCGTGAATATCAATGTATTTTATAAACTAACAAATTCGCATATTTCAATTAGAATTCTTAGCAAAATTTCTCATGAATGTGTGGCTGTGTGTGTGTGCGGTTCGACCGTAGAGACTCATTACACTAGATATAGTAATTTTTATTACTTCCATTCATATTTCATTCAATAGTTCTTCTTTTGAGTCCCGAAATTGATTTAAATTATGTATGTATGTAATTATGTAATTGCGAAATGCAAACGTCCAATAAGCATTAGGTAATCATGATGAAAACAATTTTAACGCAAATGTAAAAATAGTGTTGAATAATGGAATGAATAAAAAAAGTACTAATAACTGCATCAGACCTAACCTAAATGTTTAATAAATATATCCATAGATATATGCATATATATATTTTATAAATATGTTCTCTTAATTCACTTGTAAATTCAAAAAGAAATTCATGTTTTCTGGCTGGATTCGGTCTGCCAAGCTGTTGTGCATTTTACGTGAAACTGTAAATGAAAAAGTGCAAATGAAATCAAATAAATGAATGAAACAACGTACATCTTTGTTTTTTTTTTTTTTGGTTTTTTTTTTAGAAAACAACTCAAGTAACTTTAATTTTAATTGAAATAAACAACGAACAAAAAGTATAATAGCAAAGACATACAAGTGTATAAATTTAATACCATATGTAAATAAATTCTAGAATTTGATGGAAACTCAAACAATAAATGAAATAAAATAAGATCTTAATTAATATAGAGAATTTCAACTTATTGCAAATTTAATAACAATCCATTAAATATTTACTATATTTAATTATTATTATTTATGTTTTTGTTTTTGTTTTTGTTTTTTGATTTGTCATGCTGTGTCTGACTTGAGTTACATACATAAATGTAGGATCTATGTATAAGCAAAGTACATGGTATAAATATTTCTTACTTTTAAATGCTCGAAGATGTGTATAAATACTTTTAAATACAAATACAAACTACAAATGCTTGGATATGAATGTGTTGGTAGTCTTCAATAGGAAGTATAAGCAGCTAACAACAAACAGTTATCTATACGCACTCTATAATATCTATTACAAGCTACCATATATATATATGTATATACTATAAATCATTTTTATTCCTTCCTCTTTACAAATAGAAAATATACTTAATTTCGTTCCTCTTGCGCGCAAAGTAAAAGTTAGGTTTAGTTTAAAGATGGAGTGAAAGTGAAGCATATAAATTTCCCATTTAAAACAAGTGCTTTGGTACTATGAGAATTGGAAATGAGTCAACGAAAGAGCTCGAGAAAATTCCCTAAACGAGTCGCAATCCTTTTATCAATTTCACAAAGTATTTATTATAATTTTGGGTTATTTTTTGTTGTTTTTCCTTCTTTTTGTTTTGTTTTTGTTTCACGTTTACGTTTTCGAAGCAGTCTAAGATTTTGTTGTTCTTTGTTAAATGTCATAAAAAATGTGTTTTAGGTTAGGTTCACTACTAATTCCGTAAAGACACAAACACACATGTAATTAGCTAAGTACATGTGTATGTGTATGTAGTTGTAAGTATGTATGCATATATGTATTTATGTAGATATATATTTATGTATATATATAAATATCGTATAGTAGCAACAGTATATATATGTATATGTAAAGATGTATGTATATAGTAGTATAATATGTATATTTATGTGTAAATGTTCTCGTGTAAAAATCAGTCATAGTTAATTGTTTATCAATTACATATGTTCGCATGCAAATGCATACTAACACGTGTGTATGTGTGTAAGTGTGTTTGTGTGTTTCGTCCGCGTCATACTCATTGGCGGAAACAACGGCAGAGAAAGCATTGCGTCTAAGAGAGAAAAGCTCTTTGTGCACCAAAAGCTCTGCAGCATAACGTTTAAATCTTAAAGAGCAACGCGTTAAGAATATTTGCACAAACAAACGCACACACATGCACATGCACATGCACATGCTCACGCACATGGACATGCACATGTGCATGCACGCATGCATTTTGCATTACTATGTACTTATTTATGTAAGTATGCATGGTTCGCACAGTGTGACCATATGCATTGAAGAGTAATGCATATGCGAGCTATTATGCGTGTTGAATTGAACTTGTGTTTTGAATTATTTTCAATTATTCTTATGCATGTAGAATCGTAATCTTAGATTAAGAAAACTATTGACAACAACAGCAATGAAAAAATAGTACATACATATGTGTGTACGATTGCATGTACTGTACTTATCAGACAAACAGACAGACACTACGCAAGCAAGCTTTTCAAATTGATGTACTCTAGTTTACAAAGAAAAATAAACATACATTTATTGGCATGTATGGATGTTAATTTATATGTAGTTATACATATAAACGTTATATACTTATTGGGTTCTCTAACATTGAATTAACATTTTCGTTTCGTGTCTTGGGACTTATCTATAATGAATATGCATTTATGTTATTATTACAAATAGTCTACGAGTATTTCCATTTTCTATGCTGACGGATAATAGAACTTTAGCTGTCTACTTAAAAAAAAAAGAGAATCAAAGAAAAGATAAAAAAAAATTCAAATTCTTGTACATTACTTATATATATGTATGTATTCAATTCTTTTTGAATTTCATTAGATGTCGCTTTAGTTTTCACTATTTTTTCATTATATAGTCTAATAATACTTAAAAACACTTCTACGAAGCCAGTTTGAATTTTGTTTATTAGTTCGCTGCTGCCACTTGACAAAGTCGATTTTATTATCGATATTGTTATCGATTTCTTTTTTAATTATGCATGTACAAATTCTAAATTGCGTACAAAATGCTCAACAATGCGTCGGATACGCGTTTTTAGGGTTTTTTTGCTTTTTGTTTGCGTATGCTTTTGCTTATCATTTTGCTTTGATTTTGGGTTCGTTTTGCTTAATAACATTTATCAAAAATATAAACTACATTAAAAATTATTTCTGCATATCCATTCGTCCACGGGCCCATCTAGATCAATTTAACTCGTGCCGACAGTCTCAACCTCAACCTCAACCTCAAACTCAACTCAACTCCAACCAACCCAACTGCACCAAACTAAACCATTGCCCTATTTTTGTTTTTTTTCTTTTATGTGTATGTAACCAGACTTGGACTGCTGAAGTTAAGATAGTTTTTGGATTTAATATTAGTGTAACATTCATAGCCTAACAATGAAAACGTGTTGCTACATCAGCACTTTATACTTATTGCTACATATGCCAGTGATCGCTTGTTTTTGATTTCCTTTCTGCTTTTTATTTAATTTAAATTTTGGTGGTAGTGGTGAAAACGATTGATTTCTAAACGAGGCGGCGCCCAAAACTAATCACAATTGCCGGCACACGCATACCAACTACATATAGTTTATGATTTTAACATACATATACATTTATATCAATAAATAGATGGGGGGGGTATGTCTTAAAATTCACTTAGCCTCAGCCCGAGCTTCATAGTTATCGTTTATCGTTAATCGTTTATCGATAATTGGCTCAGGCCGAGGCGTTGTTTATATTTTTTTGATGCTTATATATAATATATGCATGTATGTATATATTAAGAGAGCACAGTTAATTGGCGGTATAAAAAGTTTACATATTAGTTGAATTTTCCGTTTCTTTTCTTTGTTTGAAAAAAATACATATGCTTAAAATGTTCAATATATGTATGTGTGTATGTATGCAGTTTTTTTGTTTTGCTTTGTTTTGTTTTGTTTATTTTTTATAGATAGCGCACAGTGTGTTATAGTTGCACGATTTAGCTTACATAAATATGTTTTGGGCATTAGTTCTTTAAATATATATACCAATACAAATATATATATTTAAAAAATTGTTACATATTCATTTTGCACAGTCTATTAGATTCTCAATTCATCAAAATTGTTATCAACATACATTTATATCATATATATATATATAGATATATTTATATAGATATCTATTAGTTTAATTAAATTTCATATTCTTCCATATGCACATAATGCAACCGAAATGCATCTCTTGAATGTTATGTATGGGCAAAAGAGCGGGAAAGAGGAAGCGCAAGCAAGCAAGGGAATGTCCCATGCAACTGCACCGTTCTGCATGGCTCTTTAATGTTAGTTAACAGCGGCTTGCGTTAACATATGTTAGGGCGCCAACAAAATGTAAACCAAAAGTGAACGGTAAATAAAAACACAAAGCAATACACTTGTTTTCTTCTTTCTTTTGTCGGAATTAATAAAAAAAATCATTTAATTATGTACTTTTGTTACTTTTCTTTTTTGTGTGGCGGTTTTGCGTGTTTGTGTATTAAATGTTTTAATTTTACAACAATTCGTATTATGCATGTAAAAAGGTGTTGCTTGCATTCTATGTTAATGTTAATATTAAAGATATTTGTGTCCCTTTTTGTGTAACATTTAAAAAAGTAATAATAAAATTTAATAGTAAACATAAAAAACAAATAAGCACAAGTCAATTAGTCGGCTTTCCGGTTTCCTTCTTTCCTATTTTTTTTTTATCATTTTTGATTTTTTCATTGCGTATTTTTTTTTTAATTATTAGTTGTTGTTGTTGTCGTTTCTGTTGTTGTGCAAATGTTAATACGCTAATGTAATTAATAATAATAATAATAAATACAATTAAATAGTATTATGTATATATATATATATATGTTTTTAGGCCATTATAAATACCATCAATTAGCAGTTTCGCTTCGTGTATGATTAACAATTTTTAAGTATATAAAAAATTTTCAACAGTTTCAGTTTTGGTGTCAAGTAAAAAGTTCTCACAAGAAATATACAATACTTTGTTTTACCGTTCCTTTAGAGCTACACACACAATTACAATTACAATTACATATTACATATTACAGTACTTTAAATTACATTACACGAATTTAATTAGTTCATAGTTTACAACAAGCATTAAGTTTAAGAATCGCCTTGGCAATGCGAAGCGCATACATACATACATAGCTATATAAATATACACACACATACATGCTTATGTAGTACGCATGTATGTCTGTGTGTATGTCTGCTTTGTTTATCGTCTACAATTTAATAATCTCACTTAAGTGAAAACGAACGAACGTCAAATTCAAAAATGCAAGTTACAAAATATTATTATTTCAAGCGTTTTTCAAAAACAAATCATAGGAATTCAAAATAATAATGATGATAAAAATGAAACAACACAAAAGCAAATATCGTATAACTCAAAATTATAATAATTCTAATACTTATGCGCGAAATTTTGGGCCCAAGCACACAAAAAAAAAAAATAAACAACAAATATATTATTTAATATATATGTATACTGAAGTAATTCAGCTTTTGTAAATTATAAATAAACATTTTTTAAATGCTGTTCCTGTTACTGTTGCGTTTGTAGTCTCAAAAGTTCATACAGTTGCTTTCTAATTTAAATGTTATTCATGTTATTATTATTATCATTATTTTTGTTTCAACTTTTTACAACCCGATTCTGAACCGTGCTGTTAATTATTTTGCATATAAGCGAAAACGAGAAGTCTTTAATAATAATTGGAACACATAAAAAGCGCTTAAACTAATTGCAAAATTAACTCAACAACGGCACAAATATTGAATACAAGTTTTCAAGAACTTCAATCAAGATCTGATTCTGATTCCGATTCTGATTTCGAGTTGACGGTTGCGAAAAGATGAATTTCGATTAATTGAGATTTTGATTTATATACTTAAGTTTCATGTTTATATTATGAATATATATATATATATATAAAACATACGTATATATATATCTATATATACATGTATTTGTTAATTGTAATTGTTTATAATAATAAATTGTTTAAGTCTTCTGCGCTGATTGCCAACCATTTTTACTGTTATTCCTCATTTAATTATATATTTAAATTGTAGTTTCATGTTTTCTCGTTTGCCACCAGCAGGAAAAACATCTACTAATTGTATTCATATTTTATTTTCTGTTTTTTTCTTCCTCTGTTTTCTTGTTATTAAATTGAAAAAGTTCAATTCAATTTGATGCGTACTACACTACCAACAAATAATTTAATTTTAATTGTAAGTTTTTTTTTTCTTTAATTTCAATTTTTCAAAGTTTAACAACAATTAGACAATTTTCTTGACAAAACCTAAAAACAAAAAAAATATACAAAAAAAATAATAATATGAAATTAAATAAATAAACACATTTGATGCCTGACACACTCCCATACATATATATATATATATATATAGTAATATATATGGATATAGATAAATGCATATGTATGCGTGTGTGTGTGTGTGTGTGTGTGTGTGTGTTGAACAACAATTAAGAACAATAATTTCAGCTATTTTCAGTGCGTTTAGTTTGTGTTTACAAATTAAGAAGCGGCAATGTCTGTTTTTTAAGTATTAATTATTATTTCATGTACTAATCATATTAATAATAATCATAATAATAATAATAATAATAATCATAATAAAACAATGAAACATAAAAACTAAGCGAGTATAAAAAAGTTGTGTGTTGTTGGTTTTGTTTTGTTTTGTTTTGTTTTGTGTTTTGTTGGTAAAAAAGTAGCAAAAATTTCATAATAGTAATAATAATAATAATAATAATAAGCATATATCGTAATAATATTAATAATAAAAATACATGTATGAATATAAATAATCATTAATCAGTAATCAATAAGTTTACAATCAAAAAATAATTTATAAACATAAAAAACAGTTCAATATATATATATATCAAAATTTCTCATTCTTTTCTTTTCTTTTCTTTTCTTTTCGTTTTGTTTTCTTTTTTCATTTCTTTTCTTTTTGTTGTTGTTTCTAGGCAATCAAAAATAATAACAAACAATTGCGCATTACTTAAAATTACAATCAATAAAGTATTTGTTTATGCTCGATCTACTTGTGTGTAAATTCAATTGTTGAAGCAATTATTTTAAATTATCTTTTGTTTTGTTTTTCTTTTTTTATATATTTTTATGTTATTTTGTTTTTTTAAAAATGTTTAATTTATAATTATTTGTTTTTATGTAAGTTTTTTGTTTGACGAGCGAACATAAAAAGTGGAGGGATTTGCTTTCTGGTATATATTTTGTGTATTATTTTTTTTTTTTTTAAAAAGAAAATGTCACTGAAGAGACTTGCAACTGCCAAGGGGGCGTGGCGTGGCGGGGGGCGCCATTCGAGTTTTTGTGAACGAATTAAACAAAAATGGTAATACACAAAAATAAAATATAATAAAATATAAAATAAAAAAAAAAAACACGTTTAGTCTTAACACAGTGTAAAAAACAAAATTCAACAATAATTTAAAAAGGTAATAATAAAAATATAGTAAGTATATAATATATATAAGAGAGAGTTCTTGCTATGCTATGCTATGCTATGAGAGACAGACAGAGACAGAGACAGAGTCAAAGACAGAGACAGAGACAGAGACAGAAATAGAGAGATAGAGCGACAGAGCGACAGAGAGAGAGAGAGCGATAGACTTGAGAGAACCGCGCGCGCAAGTCAGAACTGCCAACTTGTTTTAATTTGTTTTTTTTTTTTAAATTTAAATTTAAATTTAGAATTCAAAATTCAGAATTCCGAATTTCTGGCGTCTGTTTTTTGTATATTTCTGCAATGTTTTTTTTTCTTTTCGTTTTTTTTTTTCTATATGTTTTGTCAAGGCTCTCTGCTTACATACCCACGGGCGCCAGTTGCACATAGCGATAGATATATAGTCGGTAGTCCTTGCTGGCGAGCACCACGCTGCCATCATCCATGAGCGCCACATCGAAGCACTGGGCATGCTTCACTTTGGACTCCAGCGCCGAGATCAGCTGTCCGTCCTGGGTGAAAATGGTGAGATTGAAGTTATTGTGATTGTCCGCAATGAGAATCTCTCCGTTCGAATTGATTCCAACGCCGATGGGATAATTGGTGATGCCCTCGCCGCCAATTTGGCGCAGATATTGTCCCTCATAGTTAAAGACCTTGACGCAGTGCGCCCGATTGTCGCTAATGAAGATCTCCTGCTTGTCGTTGACCACAACGCCATTGGGAAACTCCAGATGCTTCGAGCAGCCGAACTTGTGCAGCACATTGCCATTCTGATCGAAGATGATGACGCGCATCACTTTGCACTCCACGACAATAATGCGTCCCTTGTTGTCGACGGTAACGCCGCGCGGATGCTGCAATATGGTCGCACCGAACTTTCGCACAAACTGACCATATTGATTGTAGATCTGGATCTGGTGTGTGGGCGAACGCTCGGTGACAATAATATCGCCGGAGTTGCGAACGACGGCGACACGATTCGGATAGAGCAGCTGGGAGTCGCGTTTGCCGCACTCGCCAAACTGGAACTTGAAGCGTCCCTCCTTGTCAAAGATCTGGATGCGATGATTGTTCGTATCGGCGACAATGATGTCATTCTGGGCATTCACTGCCACGCCGCTGGGCTCCGTGAACTGGCCCTCCATGACGCCGAATTCGCCGAATTTGCAATGGTAAATCATCTTTTGGCGCTTGATTTGCGACTTGGGTGGATATATTGAGGCCGAGAGCAGCTTGTTGGTCAGATCGAGCAGAGATTCGTTGCTAACGGCGCTATTGTTGCTGCTCCCATTCAGATTTACCGACGACAGGCTGGCGAAGGCATCAACCACAGCCGAGCTGCTGTTGCCGTTGCCGCCAATTGTTGCCGCCGCTGTCGTTGTGTTAAACAAATTGTCGCTGCCGCCGTTGCTCCACTTCTCGTAGGGATTGTAGTGCGACATGCTTGTGGCACGCTTTGGCAACAGTTCGCCAAAGTGCTGCAGATCGTTCAGGTTCGTGCGCTCACGTCCGCCCAGCAAGAGGCAGCCGGCGCCATTTGTGTAGACGCTGCCGTTGCTGTTGCTGCCATTGCTGCTGTTGTCCAGCAGACTGCCCAGACCGAGGCCCGGCAGCAACTGTTGCTGCTGCAGCTGGAGATGTTGCTGCTGCTGCTGTTGCTGCTGCTGCTGCTGCTGATGATGGTGATGGCTGCCCGCGCTGCTCGCGCTGCTGTTGCTTGCACTCTGCGTGGGCCGCGCAATGGGCGGCTGTTTGCCGTGACCGTGGCTCTGCGTGTGGCTGATGTGACTGTGGGCGAGACTGAGGCTCGATTCGGAGCAGGTGCCACTGCCAGAGCTGTTGCCGCCGACACCGTTGCTGGCGCGTATATAGCCAAAGGTGTTGCGGACGCCGGCCTGTATCGACTGATAGTTGGACATGAACTCGAGTTCAAAGGGTATCTGCATGTCCTGGACGCCCGTCTGCAGCTGCTGCTCCAGACTCTTGCGCAGCAGCATCGCCTCGGGCAACAGCGGCGATTGGACGCCAGTTGTTAGCGAGCGCTCGACGGCATCACAGGCCGCCAGGCCCTTGTCGGTGATATCCTTGGATCGCTGCAGCCACATCACATTGCTGTTGACCTTGGCCGTGTAGACCGTCTCGAGCTCCTTGAGCAGCTCCGTCTTGCGCTCGTCCAGCATCGAGCTAAAGAACTGATGCGTCTCGTTCAGCTCGTTGTGCGCCTTCTGGTACTGCAGCTTGACCTTGGTCACGCTCTGCTCGGCGCTGTTGGCAACCGCCACAATCTCCCCAATCTTGCCGCGCATATCTGCGAGCAGCGTTTGCAGCGCCGCCTCGTTCTGGCTGTTGCCGGCGGCGTTCGCCACGGCTGCCGGCGACTGCACACTCTCCAGCTCGTGCAGACCCGTCGAGTGCTCCAGAACGATGCACTCCTTGCACACGAGCGTGCAGCAAGTGCGGCAGCTAAACTTCAACAGCTCATGCTTGTGGCGTGCACAGAAAAGCTGTCGCTGTTGTTGTTGTTGCTGTTGCTGTTGCAAGTGCGGTGTGTACAGTGTCTCGTGTTGCTGCTGCTGCTGCTGCTCCTGCGAGTTGTTGGCTGCTGCTGCTGCTGCCAGCACAATCTTCGACAGCTGTGACATGGGCTGCTGCGGCTGTGTGTCTGTCATTTGTGCCTGTTGCTGCTGCTGCTGTTGTTGCTGTTGCTGCTGTTGCTGGAGCATCATTGTGAGCGAGCTGGCGTACTTGAAGTCGCTGGAGGCCGGATTGTTGCAGCTGTTGGGCGTGTTGCTGCTGCTGCTGCTGCCGTTGCTGGTCGCCTCGAAGCCCTTGATCAGGCAGACATTGTGACCGTTGAAGCAGTGCATAAACTCGTGCGCTGTCACACAGTTGGCGCACAAATAGCTCTGGCAATCGAAGCATTTGGCCACCGCGTCGCTGCACTTGCTCTTGCAGGCGGTGCACCGTGCGGCTGCGAGGCTGTTGCTGTTGTTATTGGCGCTGCTGCCGTTGTTGCTGTTGCCGTTGCTGTTGCTGCTGCTGTTGTTGCTGTTGCCTTTGCCGGCGCCGACAACCAGGCTGCTGATGCTGTTGCTGCTGTTGCTGGGCAAATTGCTGCCTATGACGCCCGGGCCATTGCTGGGGACATTTGAGCTGCTGATGACGCTGCTGCTGGTGCTGCCGCAGCCGCTGAGACCGCTGGTCGATGAGCTGGACGATGACGAGGACGACGATGACGAGGAGGAGCAGGAAGATGAGCTGGCCGACGAGCTGGACGACACCGAGGCCGAAATCGGATGATGCCCATTGATGACAGTCACATCCTGGCGCACCTTGACACTGACCTGGCTGCCAGCAATGTACTCATCGCTGCAGATCGCCGAATCGCTGACCGGTGGCGAGGAGCCGCTCAGCGTCAGCGGCGAGTCGGACAGATAGCCGGCATGCTCGTAAGATTCAATCGAGTTGGCGCCACGCATGGAGTCCAGCGATGGAGTCGGCGAAGACGCCATCGTTCTGTGTGTATGTGTGGGTGTCTTTAATTTTTTCTTCTTCTTTCTCCAATTATGCACTCTGCCCTGATCTCTAGCTGTCGTTCAAACACCTGAAAACAGAGTAAATTAGAGAGAAGCTGCATGAGTAAAAAACAAATCACACGAATTACCAATAATCAATTAAGTTAAACGCATTGAGAGCTTAACTAAAACACAATATTAGAAGAAGAAGAAAATGCCAACATATCAATAAATCGGGTATTTTGTTATAGCATTTTTTTTATCAGCCAAATTTGAAGTAAATGCTTGGGAATTAATTTGTCACGTATCCTATTATGATTATGGTTAAAAAACCATATCATTATTAAAGATTATGTACAAAATATTACATTTTTATTACAGAACATATAACTATTTGTAAGTTATCTCTTTGAAGCACACTTCCGACGGATACCTCCTCTTAAAATAGAGCAAATAAAATGAACTAACGTGCTGCCAAAAAGACAACTAGTCGATAACTAAATTTTAATCTGCTTCCGTTCTAAGTTAACCACAAACGATAATGTTAATAGATTAAGCTCTTCGAAAAATGATTGATAAATATATTTAAAAAATCAAAAAGTCCGACGGGAGAAATATGGAATTTTGTAATTTGTATATTTGATATACAATTGGGAATAAACACAGGAAATTATATGCTCAATTTCATATACGGATCCAAGTTTTTTTACATAAACAACTAGCTGAACCAAGGAACAAGGAAATGAAAAGTGTATTAAATTGCTTGCTACTCTGATATCTGCTCTAATATCATACGATAATAAGGATATGAATAATTAAGAGTCCCAACAGATAGTAACACAATTTAAATAAGGCTTCATATTAAAATCCCACATACCAAAATTCAGCATCTTAGCTTTAATAGAAATAAGTTAAATAAATTAAGCACTCATCATAGAGATTGACATAAGTTACCAAATATTTATTTTACTGGCATTTTTATAGCCAAAGCAATTCATTTGATTAACTTTCCATATTCGGCAAGTACATAAAAGTAGACAAGAAATGTTATTGTTATTTGTTATTCAGTGCCTTGACCCAACTACAAATCGGTGAGAAGTTCACCCTCAGCCATCTTTCTTTGTTTCAAAGCACCCCTTTTGTGACTCAGCAAAGTTTTTTCTGGTTTTTGACTCTTTTCCAAATTGTGATTCACCTTTTCGTAACATAATTTGTACTTAATTGTCCCCCTATAATCCCCTACACCGGCTGCCACGCACACAGGTGACCCCTTTCTTTTTGGCCAAATAGAAACAAAGTGCTTTTTAACGCACTTCGAGGCTGTACCCTCTTGTCATTTGTAGTCCTGGCAACTGCCCCAACTCCGAGGCCCAACTTACACTTCAACCGTCAACAGGAAATGCAATAAGCACACGCATAAGGGGGCCCCGTCAAGCAAGATGCTTGAACTATTTGCCGCCGGCGAGGAGGAGGGCGTGCAACCCCTCGCGGCAAAAATAAAAGTAAACAAGCGGCGGCAAACGGACAAGGAACTTTTCTAGATTTCCATTTTCAGCAACACACACACACACACAAACACAAAACATCCGTCAACAAAAGACTCACTCGAAGAAGTCGGGAAGTGAAAGCCAAACCGAAACGAAATGGAACGAAAATCAACCCTCGAATAAAGCGCCCAGTGAAGCGGCAAGGCAACAAAGCGCGCTCCCCAAATGGGGGTTGAGTGTGCGGGGGTTAGAGGTTAGGTGGGTGCAACTGTCTAGACTGAATGTATGTGCACACACAAACACTCACACACACAGAGAGAGAGAGAGAGAGAGAGAGAGAGAGAGAGAGAGAGAGAGCCTGTACGAGGCAATGACTTACCTCTTTAGTTGTATTTTTCGTCTGCTTTTTATAAATTATATTTTATTTTCTGGTTTCGGGGTTTGTTTTTGTTTTTGTTGTTGTTTTTTTGCATTCGCTTTCAATGCAGTCAAAAAATGCTGCCAATTTGGCGTAATGTGGTCCGTTTACCGTTGTTGTGCTGCCATTTAGTTCTACCTCTCAATGTTGTTGTTGTTTTTGTTTCATACTTTTTGGGTGCTGCCAATTTCAATTGCGTTGCGCGCACAAAATGCTGCAATAGAAATACGAACAGAAACGCGATTAATATTTTAATATTATTTAATTATTATTTAATAAAACAAACAATATTCAATTCAATTTAAATTTTTTTTGCACCATGCACTTTTCACTCTGACTCCGTAGGACACCAACACAGAGCCGTGGTAAATGATAACGCGACGCGCTTGCGACGCAGCTCCCTGCAAAACTAACTTTGCGCATTATTCAGCGACCCGGGTAAAGCTGCCAACAGCAGCAGCAGCAGCACCGACGAGGGTGACGTCGACAGCGACAGCGCTGCTCATGCTCCTGCAGAGAGTGTGTCTGCGTGTCCTTTGGACGGGCAGAGCAGCAGCATCAGCAAATGCAACGCTGCACGTTGCAGTGGTGCGGACGAAGATACAAAGGCAGCATAAAACAAAATTATTGCCAATTACCAGCCGCACAGCAGAGGCGGCAGCCGAAACAACACACACACACGCACACAATTTGGGAAAAATCAATATTAATATTTACAGTACACACGGAAAAGACAGTCAAACAGGCAACAAGGCACACGGCAACAGCGCAAAAAGAGAGTTAATGTGTGAGGGAGAGAGGGAGACGGAGTATAAATGCCGAACTGTTGAATGCCGGCCCAACCGGTACAAACTGAATTGTACAGCCCCCTTATAGCGAACGGCCCACGGACAAACAGTGCAACCCTTAAAACAATATGGCGTCGGCCAGTCACCCACTCAAACCAACTAAAAGCAACAATTTTCCATGGCCGACGACGTCGCCGCAGCGCTACAGGTTGCGCGCTCAGAGAACGAAATGTAACAGGAAGCAACAGCGAACGATAAACCGATAACACGGCATCTCTTTGCTCTCGCTCTCGCTACCTCTCTCGCTTTGTAGGCTGCGCATGATTTCCAATTTTGGGCAATCACAACAACAAGAGCAATAACAAGCTGCGCTGCTCTCAGTTACAGCTCTTGGTTCTTCTTCTTCTAATGTTGAGTGGGTGAGCATACTTTTTCGCCTATGTTGCCGGCAGCGTCACCAGAACTTTCGCGTCGAATTCGAGCTGCTGCTCGCTTTGCCGCACCGGTGCAGTCTAGCTGCAAACAGAGAAGTTCTTCTGCCCTTTTGCATGTTGTTTGTTCTTTCTGTTGTCACACAACATGGAAAATGCTAGCAATGACGCGCAGACAGCAGATACCAGAGGCAATGCACACAGCATACAAGCAAACATATGTATGTATGTATATGCGTGTGTATGTATTTAAATGCATATATATGCATATGTAAGTATGTGTATGCTCAAGCAAATGCAAAGCAAAATTTCTCTACATGTAGACGAAATAGCCAGACGTGCATACATACATACATACATGTGTATAGAATAATTACATTTGCACGCATACTTACACAAGTGCATACATGAATTTATGTACACGTCGAATCTTCTTGACAGTGTTGATAACTGTTGCAAAAAAAGTCGAGCTCAGTTTAATTGAACGAATAATTTAATAAGAAACTAATAATTTGAGGCTTTTGTCGATTTATAAATAATCAGTTTATCATTTTCATTATCATAAAAATACCAAGATTATGTTTAAATGGAAACAAATGTTTTAAATAATCAAAACGGAACAAAACAAATACAAAAAATAAACTCATCAGTTTACTTAAACTTGTTCTAAATAAATAAATTGATAAAAAAAAATTGTTTATTTATCAGACTCTAAAAAAGTGGAAATACTAGCTAATGCCATCGATCGCGCATACATATAAATACTGTTCTGACTCAATATAGATTCTTAATTTGCCAACAATTTCAACAGGTTGCTTAATAATATACTTATTGCGTGACACTCTTCACTACCAAAACCATAACAAGCTAACAGTAGTTGCTATTTAGACGCCTATGACAGCAACATATCCAAAAATAAAAAATAAATACAACTGAATAAAAGCGCACATACTAAATTACCAATTGATAGTGCCAGCCGGGCAACCGACCTGACGGATGGGTGATTAGATTAGCAAATAGGGTATGTACGGGTTGGACGATAAGGTCGTGTCATATCTGTCTGTACATATGTATGTCAATATGGACTAGCACAAACAGTTGGATTGTATATTATCATGACAAGATAAATATCAGAAGAAGAGAGAGAGAGAGGGAGATAGAGAGAGAGGAGCTTTATGGCCATGCCATATGTTGCCTCTTTGAGCGGTTGATGGAAAACATGTACAACAAATTCCAGAGGGCCTGTAAAAGTATTTAAAAATAGGAGCTAATAATAATAATAATCAGGCTGTAATGCTGATGGGCTGGCACTGGAGGGGGGTTGGACTGCACTGAGGGCGTGCGTCCGGGTCATTAAGTTCAAATATGCGCAGCGGAGTAAAATTGTGGGGGCGATGGTCTGCGCAGTGTAAGACGAAACAAATGGAAACAAACTGCGCAGCCATTACTAATGCAAAACAATTTGTAAAAGATTATTAATTTCATGGCTGAAAACTGTTCACAGAAACAGACGGAAGCAAAGTACAAATAGAAGAGCTGGACGAAGAAAAAGAACAAGAGGAGAAAAAGAACAGCAGCCAACCAACCACATCATCAGCAACAAAAATAATATCAAGTTCAGGGCGGGTAGGCGTCAGCCAATAACAACAAATCTGCAGGGGGGAGGAAGGGGGGTCAGGCGGGGGCAGGGAGCCAATTGCAAACTACGGTGGAATGCGAGACACCAGAAACTGCATACAGTGTAAAGCATAACAGACAAAGCGAACCCAAAAAAAAAAAACAAAAAAAAAATGCAAAATACTAAAATGCATTTAGAGTTCGTTTGTTTCATTTTCGCATGCACACAGAAACAAATGGGCTGGTGAACAAACAAACGTTTCAATTCATGGCATTCCCTTCTGTCCATTTGGGGTTGCAGCAGCAGCAGCAGCAGAGTTCAATGGTACCCAGCGGCAACAACCACAACAAAGCCAAAAGAGCATGACACAGACGCGCAAAAAATAGAAGCCCAGCACAAAACGCAACTTGTAAAACAGAACAAAGCATGCGAAATTTGCGACGACGACGAAACCGTTTACCTGCGCCATCGTTTCTAAACGGGCTGCAGCTGCAGATACATACACACTTACACACACACACACACACACACACACACATACCAAAGAACTTTATATATGTATCTATGTATGTATGGCTGTATGTTCCTAGAGTCATGGACGCGACCATCGACAAAAGGTACCGCCTGCCAGCAGCGTGCCTGGATGGACGGTAAGGCAGGCGTGCACGACCCGCGTCTGATGCAAATTATTATTTGCCATTTTCTGTCGAAGCAAAACCAATTCGCTGAATTCGAAGACGTTGTCTGAGCCTCTGTTCCACCCCTTCTCCAACGCAACAGATGTCGCGGGCTATGCGTCAGCAGCATGTGACCCCCAAAGCAGCAGCTGCCGTTGCCGCCAATGCTGCTGTGGCTGCTGAATGAAATTCATTCGACGACGGCGCATTTTATTGAACAAGAAGACAATGGCAAACGACCCCCACCCCCTCCCCTCTACACACACACACACACACACATAAGGGAGTTGTTTTTTTTTTCGTGTTGTCGTAGGAGCCGACGGCGACGAAGGCAGACAGAAAGAACGAAACAACAACAACTGCATCCAATTTAGCAGACAACAACACAACCTCACAGTCGCAGACACTTCATGAACTGCTTCTTCTTCTTTCATCGCCTGTTCTCACTATCTTCTCTCGCTATCTCACTATCTCCCTCCTTGCTGCTCCGTTTCTCTCTCTCTCTCTCCCTCTCTGGCTGGTCCAGCAGGTCAACGCCGTGTCATCAGTGCTTTTCTTATACCCTGTACTTTGCGTCCTGTACAATAGTGGGGGGCATAAGCACGTTATTTAATACACACAAGTATATTTATATTTAAAACTCGTATATGTATACACACATACCCATTTTTAGAAGGCATCTCACGGGTCGAGCAATCTTTCATAGGTTGCAATTCTTATTTGTTTTGCGTTAAGTTTTCTTTCTTACTGTCCGTGGGCTGTCGTGAGCTTCGCTGTTGGCTGTAACTTTCCTGTTAATGTTAATGGAGTTAAATGACTGTTGTCCTACCATTTACAGTGGCATGCCTAAACATTGTGCCTGCTCAATAGAGTTGCACACGCACACAGTGCAGCACATAACAGTGCACACAGCTTATTGATGTAACCGAAAAATCATGTTTCGTATCTGTATCTCAGTTGAATTGAACCCAGCTATGGCTGCTAGTTTTGTTGCAGCCAATGCACCCAATCAAATGGTACGTGTCTGTTGGGTCTTTTGCGTGTAAACTTTTGATAAATATTTACTATCTACTTTAACATTTTCAATTAGAGTTGTACCAATTTTCGTTTTGTGTACACTGAATACAGTACAGTGTGTATATACATAAACTATGTATCTTTCTTTATCTGTTACGTGGAACTCGACACAAGCTCCCTACCCAGTCATGCAGCCGAGCAACTAAACAAGCGCAACTTTTTGATAATGAAAATATAAAAAATTGGTACACTAAGATTGGAACTGGCGGCAACAAGAACGGAAAGTGTTGCAAAGTTCTAGAAAATATCCAGCTTTAGCATATGACGAAAGAATATGTACGTATGTACGCATGCATAATTAGAAGATTCTTCCCAATATTCATGATTATATCGAGAATATTAAATTAAGCATTATTTACTGCAATGAACACAACTGTATGGATGCGAGTGAGATGCTAGTGTTACAGTCTTAGGGCGATACTTTTTTTGACAAATTACGATATGGAGCGTAAAACAATCCACATGGAAAACAATACCTAAATAAACAAGTGTGTAAACATTTTAAACACGTTTTTCGATTTTTTGCTTTACGTGAAAAAAGAACACACACACACTCACGCAATCGCAATCTTTTTCTGAAAGTCCGTTGTATTTTAATGACTTGAAAACCAGCGTGGCTCACA